TTTCTATAAGCCCCTCTGGCAACAGGATAACACCATGGTTTTTATCTGAATGCAAAACCTTAATCAGCTGACTGCTTAACTCAAAAACTGACTCTACAGACAAATGAGGACATAGTAGTTTCAATACCATGTTCAGCCCTAGCCTGAACTGCATCACAAATTTGTTTTGTGATGTCAAAGAGAGTTAGCTTCGACGCAGCTACCTCCTCACCAAGAATCACCTGCAGGATCGCTTAAAACTTTTAAGGAAGAACCAAGAACACTTGGAATATGTAAGAAGCACCATGTCCTAACTGAAGCATCTGCTGATCAATCCAGAGATAAAACTAACCATATTAGGATGTGACTGCAGAGTGCATTCTAAGGCAACATGTGATGCCTTTCGCCCCATGAGTCTGATGAAATAGTAATACTGAAAAAAGGAAAGATCCCCCATGGTATGTTAACAGAAGGACAAAAATAAAGGTGTAACATGAAACATGGGCTGTAAATCACAATCATCTAAAGTAAACAACCCTCCATAAAGATTTCATAACAGCAGATAGGTATATTAGGCTGTATATACAACACCCAACTATTTCAAAAGCAATGAAAAACATCTAAGGACATGAATAAAGTCGGTACCTTCTCTGCTGAGAGTGCATCAGTGCACATATTGCTAATGAGTTGGGAGTTAACCTGAGATGAAACCGCAGATAATGAGAATTCCAGAAATTAAGAAGTCAAAGACGCAATATCAGCTAGTTCAGAGCTTGAATTACACTAATACTTAATTAACATGCACAGCATCATGAGAAAGAAAAGGACCTTTCCACATTAACCTGCAAATTCAACACTACTATCACTGCAAAACCGTAAATCTACCAAATGGAATACAACATCAAAAGCAGAAAGAAGCCAGCAGAAATTCCACTAGAAAAAAAGAAAGAAGAAAAAAGAAAAAGAAAGAAGAAAAATAGAAGCACTAGGTCCAATGGAACTCTCGACCTACCTAGAAACGAAAAGAAAAAACCTAAAGCAAGGGATAGGAAGCATCAAGAGGAACCTGCAGGATAATGCATTTCAAAGGGGAAAAAACTAGTTACGAGCTGATTCTGTGTGGTGTTTGTATTAGTACCTTGCATATTGTGTCAAAGCCAACATTTGCTTCAACAAACTGATTCTTGAGATCCCCATTTAATGTAACAGGAACACCAACCACCTAAAGATAAAAACAATTCTATTAGTATGTTACTGACACAATAAGATAATACACTGGATAAAAGAGCCAAGGTTTGGACTAAAGCAGGAAGATAAAGAAAATAAAGTAGGACATTCATTACTATACATGAATCAACAGGAATAACACATACTTTTGTAGGGCATTTTGCTTCTGCAAATTTTTCTGCCAGCTGAGCAGCATCAGTGTTTGATGTCACTCCTTCAAGCCAATGCATATTTTTAGACTTTAGATGAAGGGGAATAGTGTATACTTGAAGGTTCATCATGTACAATTAACAGTAGCACTATGAATACCTCCAATAATGACAAGGCCATCCAATTTCAAAGCTTTGCATGCAGCCATTGCAGCATTTACTTGCTCAGTCGTTCTAATTTGATCTTTTGTCCGTCCCAGCATGTCATATCCACCTTAATAGGAAAAAAGGCAACAAAAATAAGCCCCCCAGAAAGGCAAAATGTAAATATAAAATGAAACTTCAACCAGATGTAAATACCTTGATTCTTATAGGTAGCAAGAACGTCATTGGTGATCTCTAGAGTTTTCTGCGCAAATAAACCTTCAGAACCACCTATTGAGATTTGAAAAAAGAGAGTTTCAGCACAAATGACTTCCTTGAGGAGAATCAAGTTTCTAAGAACTATAAATATTAGAGCATAACCAAAAAAAAAATTATCAGCATTAGCGCATGATACTCAATATTAAACATGACACATGCAAGAGTGTTAATCGTGGTGAAATAAATCTGCAAATAGACACTCTTGTTAGCTATTACTACAGCGTCCCAATAACTGCCATAAAGGAGATCTCAAATGAAAAACAATGAGAAATGTGTAAAGAACTTACAGCACCATCGTAAAGGAAATACTTACCCAAAAACCCAAGCAAGGTATTATTGGGGTTGTGAACCTTAAGAGCATCATGAAGACCCCATAGCACATTGTGTCCTCCAGGAGATTGTCTACCACAAAATAGCACCCCAACCCTAACAAAAGAAGAGGATAAACAGTGAGCACAGTTTTCGTTCCAATAGAAGAGACTAGGGATAAAGGTGAATACTGTGCACAAAAAACGCAATCAAGCTCATTTTAGTGCATAATGAAATGTGACGATACAGATAGCAATCCCTTGGGTTAATATTTTGAAGATGTAAGTAAAAGAGGAATTCAATCACAGACAAAATAAATTATCACATAATAATAATAATAATAATAATAATAACAACAACAACAACATACACCTAAGCATTAATTCAGCATAGTATTTGTTAGAAAGTATCTCCTGATTCCAATATTGATACAGTTTGCGAGTAAACTGCGGAATTATGAAGCAATCGTCAAATGCAATACCTAATTACAGGATGTTCAGTAATTATCTGAGCATCAGGGACCTTGGCAGTTGCCCTAAGAAAATGGGCTAACGGCTGACCATAAGTGTGTGGGAAGAACCGTTTAATTGTGTGTTCACCAGAGGGATCTGCTGCAGTGGTTGCATCACGGAGCTCTACCCGGACAGTAGTACCCTGTTCAAATCGGAGCAATTCGGAATAAAGCTAGGTCTGAAGATGTTTAAAGCAATAACATCAAAGGACAAATTGCTCAAGGATCTTGAATATCATAGGCAAAATTAAACAGAATAACCTAAACGTGGACAATAAAGCAAAGTGGTGATGCATCAACTACAAGAAATGGACACCAATGAATGAATCAATTGACTGAAAGCTGGCAATTACGCCAAAGTATGATGAGTTGAACAAATGTCTCGGGACAGTCAGACAAACGTCTGAACAATCTAATTGTTATTATGTAAAAGGTAACCAGCATTATTTCTGATAATTTGTTTTAAAAGACAGCTTATATACGTTCATGACTTCCGCTGATGTAAAGACGTGATTTTTTTTAGATGAAAAAAGTAAAGACATGATTTTTCGGCTAGCTACTCGTTAAAGGAAAACCATAAGTATATCACAGTGAAAAATAACATGTTGGAGCTGAGCGAAATCTAGTAAAAATCTTTCAGAATAAAATCGAAAAGGATACTTTATAGTACATGACGGAAGTCCTGTGTCCTTGCCTAAAAAAGAAAAACTTGCAAAAATTAAAGAGGTAAATGTTTTAACTTATTTTTTATTTTCTTAAATACACGATCAAGTTACTTGTAATTTGAACAAATAGTGTAGGAACTCAGGACTCCCAAAAAAATTAGATTGATGAACAATACACATCTGATATGAATAAAATAATCCTAATAAACACACCGCAAAACGGTACTCTGATGAAAGAAAACAGCATTATATGTGTGATCTACCACGTTAGATCTATTCTTCACGAGGCTGATATACCAGAGAAACCACGAACCCGAACATTTTGCAATAAACTACTTATGACTGCCAAAAGGCAAAAATAAAAACAACAGCGCGTTAAATCGATACGAACAATCAGATTCAAGCGAGAAGGAATGGACGAGATGGCAAAAAGTATCATGCACAAAAGGCTTCACAAGACATGAAGAGAAGTAGAAAGAGGAAGAGAGAAACCTGAAGACAAGGAGGAAGTTCAGGCTGGTATTGAGATCGAAGCTTTTGCAAATCAGAGAGTTCTCGAGGTATACCGTAGTCTGCATCCATTGTTTGTGTCGCTGCTATACTCACTCGCACCAACTTTTTTGTCAGTCTCCTAACTCTGAAAAGACCGTTTATATATATATATATATATATATATATAGGACAGGGGCTAGTGAGGCGATACAACCAACCCAGCAACCAGTTTTACCTTCCGGGTTCCACGACTCTATCTTTATATGCCCTTACTTATCAACATTATTACGATGCAGCCATTTCCTTTTATTCTGCAATGCAATCCAAACCCCCCCCTCCCTTACAAGTGTTAAGCAAATCATCAGCTGTAGTAAAAATAACGCAATTAAGTGCGCGTATGGTCACTAGTTTGAATCCATTTGTCCCAGTGAAAAGGATCCCAACACCTGGCAAGAACTTATCTCACCCGTCTTCGTTCAAAAGAAAAAAGGAAGATCAAAGCATAATTTGTTTTAAGAAATGGGTTACACACAATCCTCAAATTATACTGTCCAATAAATTTTTACTAGTAGTAGTTCTTTTTTATCTTTTAAAATTTACGCTAGTATATTTTTTTTTATTATAATAGTTTTATCATCTCTCGGTAATCCCATTACGCAAACAAGTTATGACTTTTTTTAAACTTGAAGACGTCTACCGTCTATGAAAGATTGATTTTTGAGTAATAAAGTCCAGATAGGAATATGCCCCTTCAGGATAATTAGGTAAATTCGGAGTTCGGATGGCAGGTAAAGCATGCGGATATTCACCTAAAATACCCTCACCTACTTGTCGATGGGGAAACAGGAGCTTCTTTTTCTTAAAGTTGGATCTTTTAGGTCGTTTTGATGGCCTCAGGAGCCAGTTTTCATCTCCATCTCAATTTTCCAACAGCGCCCCCAGTTTACTCTAACCCTTGAAAATTTTACCCATACCAAAGAAGAAGACGAGTGCACACATTTGCGGAGATGCTTCTTTTCTCATTTGTCAATACACTTCCAGACTATCCAGCTTTTCCGCTCCAAGCCATTATAATAGAGTAGCAAAAAAGAGAGAAGACACAGACCGCCTCATATATCAAACTAATAGAAATCCAACCATTCATCTTCACATCGATTTCATAATTTTGAAAATTTTGGTGGCCTTGTAATCCTGCTCCCATGCCACAACTACCACTCTGGGGCAGAAAGAACGAAGAAAAGGAAATGCAAAACAGAAAGGAAACAAATTTAGGCTGGAACTGTTAAAAAGTTGCATAGATCTTAGTAAGCTCATAAGTCATAACTAATAACACTGAACGACGTCCTTCAGATGTAAAAGCAAAGACTCATACAGAAAGTCTATGATACAAACTAAAGAACTCAAAGGAAGCATGATCCACCAAGGGAAAGGATTTGATCACAATGAGTCACATCACAATTCCCAAAGAATGGGGATTGAACTTCATCCTCGATCTTGAAGCTTTGCATCTCTTGCCCATCATGAAGGACAGGAACTCAAAAATCCGACCAGTCTTATTTCCTCCCTTTATTGGAACCAGAAGACCGTGGTTTCTGCTTCGTTGATTTTCTTCTGGAATTAACCACGGTTGGCTGGGAAGAATGAGCAGGCATATGATGCCCAGGAACCAAAGCAGGGAACCCAACAGCAGGGATTCTGCAGATTTCACATTGCATTAAGTAAATTAAAGGCTATATAAGCACTTGAGAGAAATTAATGAACCTTCCTATTCTACATAAGCATGGCAACCTACAAAAATTGCCAGACTGTCTAGTCTAAGACTTGCTTCAGGCGTTAACCAAAGCCGAGTCCAAAAATTTATGTCAGAAAAAGTGATATAGAGAATGTATTTCACTAAAATGACAAGAATTTTCTTATCCTTACCCAACAAGAGCACAGCAGACTCCTGCTTGGTCATACAAGCACCATTAGCACTGCTATTCTGCAAAGAGAAGCGCAAAGCTTGATTTTCTGCAAGACAGCACTGGAGAACTAACCCCAACCTCTTGCACTCTGATTCAAAGTATCTACTCTTCAACTCAAGATCCCTAACATACAACTTCTTCCGCTCTCGTGACCTGACAGCTGCATCTCTGTTTCTCAATTGCCTGGAAGATCAAATATTAAGTTTTTTACTCAAATTTTCTTTAATCTGCTATATACATCACAGATTAGATAAACGCAAACCCATTATCATCTTGAAGGAGAAGAGCAGAGGGATGCATTACAGTAGTCTAGATAAGTGCACATGATGATATCTCCAATTTTAAGTATGATGAACTACACATTCTTCCTGGATATAGACATATAGTATACATCACACACTAAATAAGTGCAATCTTTATGGAACATGGTTTCTTCTTCTAAGAGAAAGTCCAGCACCAGTTTGCTTTGTCAGCAAAGTTCCCGCTTGGTGGTGTGTATTCCCCTGCTTCAACTACTCATAGTACTACAGGAAGGCGGTGTAGCTTACATTCGCACAGTTCAGCATATCACCATGTTTCACAAGTCGCAAATTAATGGAAACATTGAACCGTCATGTGCTTTGATAAAAATCAGTATTGACAAATCAGACTTTGGAAAGAAGAATCATACTTTTGTTTCATAATCAACAAACAGACAATGAACGTTATGTTCTAACACAGCACAAATCAACTCTAAACTTAATGGCTAATGCATACTCAGCAGTTACCACAATCAATGTACAATGTCAAATTACTGTAATCTTGTAGAGAGAAACTCCTTCAGAAATCCGCTGAGAAGAAGACAAAATGTGGGATGGCATAATCAGCTACTACTGATTGAAAAAAAGGAGAAAAAGTTTTTCGTTTTTACAATAGCAAGTATTATTGATGTCAAAACCAGCACCTAAGAAAGTGTTGTGATTACATCTAAAAATAGCAAAAGTAAGTAAATCCTGGTTATCTATACAAAAGGATTGAAAAGAAGAAGAAGAATTGCAAAGGATTTTTGGGTCACCGTGCATAATTCAAATTAAGACCAGTAAAAGAGGATCCTTTTATTTAATAAGCATGAGCTAAATAAACAGAGCCATTTTAATTTAAGGTAGAGAAAACTATGTTGAATAAATTACAAAAAAGGAAAGAGAAAAGGCCAAAATTTTGGAGAGATACCTCTTGCGCTTTTTATCGATGGGATCATCACTGTTTAGTTCGTCGGAGCCGTCCTTAGACTCAATCGGCGACTGGGAAACCTTCTCCTTGTCTTTGTCGTCATCATCCACCTCGGAGCCACTTGAAACCTTGGAATCGGTGAATCCAATGACTTTATCAGAGTGAGAAAGATTGGACTGAACAGGAGAATCGGCTAGCACGTCGGAGAGAAAGTCGTCAGCAAGTTGAAAATCAGGCTCTCCGACAGCCACGTGACCGACGATTTCATCATCGTTCATGAGAAGCTGCTCGATCTCCTGGATAGACGGCGCGGACGGATCATGAGCAGAGAAGAGATTGTCGGCGGGATCCTCTAGAATATTGTGGAAGAGGTCATCTACATCGTCCCAATTGATGTGTCCAACGATATCATCGATGTCATCCACCATCGCCTATTCTACAACCCAGAATGGGAAGATTGAACCAAAATTCAACAAGAAATACGGGGGTTTGGGGTGGGGGAACTAAAGCTACGACTACGATTTTGGGACCTGTGGATGGGGCCAATTAATAGTCACGTGATACACCCCGTATTTCTTAGAGGTTAAGGGTCCAAAGGGAAAGGTAAATAGCAAGGAAATTGTGAGTAACACAGATATTACTGCGTCATCCAACCAATAGGAATTCGAGTTTCCTTCAACTTTTCGACATTTCTCTGACCTTTCGGACCACGTACCTACAGTTACAAGCCTAGCTAAATCTATATCTATCTATCTATCTATATTTATATTATATTAAAAGTATGAAAGATTTACCCCTTTTAAAAATCTAATTATCTCACCTATATAAAAGAAAGCAGCAACTTTATTTGAAGGGGTGTGATCCTTCACAACAAATATTATAATGTCCCGAAAACTTTCTGTCCTAAAAAACTAGCCAGCAACTACTTAGAAAAAAATTAAATTAAAATAACAAGTTTGTAGGAAGGGACGCATACCTTCATAATAGGTTACTACAATTATTGTTCCGAACAGTTTCTAAGTACTCTATATTTTTGAACCTTTGAGATGTTCTATTTCAAAGATCTTGTCATCATGGGATAAAAATTTACAAGGCACAATTATCTCTTTTGGATTTCATCCGCAATAATTTCATGGGATAATTTAGAAGGCTGATTGGCACGTAGTTTACAAATCTTGCGGTCATTTCTCAATTAGCAGTATTCCGTTGCTTCTTTTAATTATACTGATAACATTAGCGTCCCATCATCTTAATTTTTCATTATCCCGAAAAATGTATTAATTCAAAGGTGAAAAAGTATTACTATTACATAGCATTTATATATGTATTATGCATTAGTTATATCTCTTTTCCAAGAAAACAACTTCAATGTCTGTTCTATTAGTAATGATTCAAAGCAAGTTGCCTAGCAATTTATGTTTTCTTTTTTTTGGTAATTAGCAATTTATGCTTTTCTTCTAACGTTCTCATTATACTTGTTAAAATGGGAATAGATTGTGTTGAATCATTTCGCATTAGAAAGAAAGATGGAGAACTGTTACTTAACAAAAAAACTAGACAATTATCAAGTTCAAAGAAAAAGATCTTCAGAAGCATAAGAGGTTTGATAATTTAGAAAGAAGTTCGAATGTTATCCAAAGATTAAGTCCACTGCTGCTAAATTTTTGAGAGTTTACAAAAGTTACACGAAGGGAGACCTATGCATTAAGAAAGTCTTTGCCCTTTTCAGGGGAAAAAATACCAATTTTTTTGTTAGCAAGAATCTAAATACTATCTCAAGTTGGTGTTGAGTAAAGAGAAAGAATTCACTTTTCTTATCAAAATTGATACGACAGTAAAAATTCAAGTAGGAGCTTAATTAAGAAAAATTAGCAATGATACGAAGGAAGAAAATGAAAAGAAATAATGAAGAACACTCCCACAATTAATAAAATAATTCAAAATTAAAAATAAATTAGCGGCATTTCTTTTACATGTAAATGATCTTTGAACTGATTTGATTTTGAAGTTATATTTGTCAAAAAAGTATTATTGCTTGGGTTTTGGTTTTTTTTTTTTAAATTTTTCTTCATATAAAAGAGAAATTTGTGTTGGTATAATATTCCAAATTTGATTTGTATTCTTACCATCATCATTTTAACCGATAATTCTCCTAATGTTTTTATTCTTATTAGTTTCCACAAATTATCTATCTATATTTACGCAAAAATAATTACTCAATAAAAGGACTTCTACACAATATATACTATAGGTATAAGTGAATTCTATTTTATTATCTGTTTAGCTAAATGATTCACGATTTTCATAAATTAAGATATCAACAACAACAATACTAATCCAGTATAATCTCACAAATGGGATCTGGAGAGGGTAGTATGTACGCAGACCTTACCCCTATCTTGATGGGTATAGAGGTTGTATTCAATATACCCTCAGCTCAATAAGACGAAAAGAGACAATAGATCAGTAACAACAACAAAGGCCAGAAAAATAATACCAATAACCTAAGAAGCAGAAAATTAGATGGATGTTCCCCAGCCTATTCCATCCGTGGCTCCATACTACCCCTACTTCCGTGCCTTCTATTATTGAAGTAGGATATTTTAGTAGTGGGGTGATGAGGCAAATAATGATAGAGGTTCCTTCGGGAGGTAGCCTCTTAAAGAAGTCAGGCCAGGCGGATGTATGGTTAAAGCCCGTGATAGGCCCGGTTGAGAAGTCTAAGTTGGAAAGTCACAACTCCTTAACTTGGATGAACGAGATTGTGCACTCGTCCCTGAAGGTAGACTTTATATCATCCCTCATTCTTTTCATATCTTTTACCGTATCTAACTTCTCCTTTTATGCAAATCAACCTTATCGGCACAAAATTAANACACAACATGAACCAATAGCATTCTAAGACAAGGCACTATCAGACTAGCCCTACACCCAGTACGGAGTAGAAAAACGCTCAACTACCTCCTAACCTTCAACCCTAAAGCTCGAGCTCCACACCTTCCTATCAAGGGTCATGTTCTCGGAAAGCTGAAGCCACCTCATGTCCAGCCTGATCTAAATTTAAATATCAACTATTGATATTAATAATTATGTAATATGAAGCATGTTGTACTTTGACAACACAAGTTTCGATAATGACAAAGCAATTGAGACACATAAAAAGGAACATATAGCAAGAGTATCATTTATAAGGAAGTTTATGTAAGATTCACTTCATTATATTTTATACCTCATAAGATTGAAATAAATTAAGCAATCATGTGTATCTAATTAAACTTCGATTGTTTATTTTTATAGGTTTAAAAGATATCTAATTATATTAACCTCGACAAATAAGTCACAACACGAAAATCTACATTGATCATTCACATAAACATCTGGTTTATTCTTTTATGCATAATTATACACTTAAAACTTTATTTTAATAATAATAATAATATTGGGAAGCCCTACACTAAAAAATTGAATTACTAAAATACCCTTCTACATAATTTTAATAACTTAGATATTAAAAAAAACGTATTCCTAAGAAGAGTTGTCAAGCCAATGCTAAAAGTCACAACTATTCATTTTACCAAGCCAACAATTTAACAATCACAACTATTCCTTTAAAGGAGTCAGTATACATGTGTATTTGTGTATATTGTATGTTTCTTCTTCGTCCTTTATTTCTTAGTTTTCGTGTTCACATTTTGGGTGATACTGTTTTTATTGCTTTACTTCACTCAATTATATTTAATGTTTATTTTAATTTACTGTAATTAATAAATCAGTATTTATATTTCCACTGATTATTTATGTCCTAGAAAATTTGTTTAATTATGAGTATACAGTAATCTTTTTTATGAGTTTGAGTATATTGGTTACTTTCATGTTAATATAGTTTGTGCAAAATAATACTTTTTTTAGTCGGCGATTTATTGTTGTACCTCTTTCATATATTAAATTAGATATGTAATTAGAAAAAAGTTGATTGTCCAACATTTTGACAGTCTTTTTTCTTGGATTATCAATATAAATTTTATATTCTTAATTTTATCCTTTATGTATGTTTTTGGATTCATCCGCTAACAAATATTAGTACCAAAGCAAATTTTTTAGTCTTTCTTGATGTACTTGTGATCTGTTTTCGTTTGTGCATATTCCTGTACATACAAAGATTAGTTGGTGGGAATAAGTTTAACTAAAAAAATTAAAGGCATTCTGCACTATTTGTTAAGTAGGATGATAAAACAGTTTAAGTTTGATAAATAAAATAAATCATTAATTTTGTTTTGATATTCAAAAACTACCAATGATCATTTTTATCATAGTATTTTAGATATTAATATCATCTGCTCTTTGCATACATTAATCTCCTTAACGATCCACTTTGTTTGCAATGAAGTTCTATTTACGTTCTTACGAGTGAAAGAAATAAATATTTCTTTGAAAGATATTCTGTATGAATTATAACTCCATTATTATCTGCAATAGTCTATAGACATATATGGGACTTTTCTCTTAATTTTATCTTACTTGATTATTCAGTAAATAAAAAAGAACTCACTATCCAGTTCAATCCTTCATATCTACAAATGAGATTATAATTCTACCACTTATTTTTATATATATATATAAATATTAATTATTGGTGCATGTGAAGAAGACGAAGAATTTGTGCATGTTATGTTGGTTTTTTTTAAGTAAAATGTGAACTAAAAATGGAGGAAAAAATATACTTCGTATTTAAAATGATTCCTTTTTACAACGGAACTTTGTCGCTCATTAGAAAGGAAGAGAAAGATGTGTGTTCCTCAAGCAAATCTATATCGATGTTATCCTTGAGTCAATTTCATGTTTTTCTCATTTAGACTTTTCTTTCATAAATAATACTCCCAATAGTTTTATCATACGTATATTAAAGTTTTGAAAGTACATTTTTTAATATTCTAAAAAATTTATTTGTTAACCAACAAAAAAGAAATTTATTTTACGATTGTTAACCGTACATACTGATTACTTATTCATTTTAAATTATTATGTTTGGACCATATTTGGTTGAAGTTTGAAAAATTTAGTATTTTGAGTTAAATTTGAAGTTGATATTATTTGACATGAATTTCACGTAGAGAAGAAGTTAGAACATTTGTGAGGGAAACATTACCATACTCAAACAAAACTTTTAGGTTCATTTTTTTTAATTTAAAATTAAAATTAAAATAATAGATAAAATTGTAAATTAAATATTTAATTGCAAATAACGTGTGTCCAAATGCCCTTATAACTAAAAAAAATCTTAAAGTACGCATATGATAAAAATTCGCTATAGTATAATACAAACTTTATAATAATGATATGAGATAAACGTGCAACGCACGTTCAGAGAGATTAGTTACATAGAAAGACCCCAAGGAATTGCGACGACCAAGCAGCTCTACCTTGAATCCTTGAGATCAACACATTAACTCTGTCCGAGTCCGATATCTCCAATATCTGGCTCTGTACAAAAATGTACAAAAGTGTAGTATGAGCACACCACAGTCGGTGTCCAGTAAGTATCAAGACTAACCTCGGTGGAGTAGTGACGAGGTACAGTCAAGACAC